TGATAAATTTGTCCATCTAAAAATGTATATCTTGATCAGCTACTAACCTTTGTAAGCTGATGTGAGCTACTATTTGCATATTTTTATAAAGTTTTGCTGTATTAGGATACTTTTAAGTCTTATTTTAGTATGTACATTTTCATACAGTGTGCATTTGATTTGAAATATTCATAGGTAACACAACATTTGCTGCTGTTGCAAGTCGTACATAAAAAAAACTAAAATTATGGATAGATTTGAGAAAGCATAAAACTACAAATTGCACAATGTTTTAATACAGGGTTTAAAACATCATAAATATACCATTATAATTGTTATCTTTTATGTACATACATTACTAAGCAGTTATGAAAATGTTCCCAGAAAACCATTGAGTTATCCCTTCAAAGAAGAAATACTACAGCTGTACAGTAGGGTGACCAATCCCTCTACAGGTTTTGAGGTACTTACAGTGTAGTTTATTTAGATTGCTAAGCTTTTTCCTTTCATCCTTCTAACCAAAATTGTGAGGGTGATATAGCAGCAATGTTGTTCATCCTTCTATAGCAATCCATTTTGGTGCAATTAGTAGTTTCAAATAGCAGGTCTTACTCAAACTCAGTAGATAATTTCTCTTGGGGAAGTGGGAGAATCCTATTGATATGGGGTTAAAAGATGGTCACCACATAAAAAAACATAATTGTAAAATACACACATTTACCACCTGTATTTGTCATTACACCAATACCAAACTTAAACAAAAAGTAAATTGTTTTGTTGGGGATCATATGTTCTTCTGATGGCTAGTTTTTCTAATATGCACTAAGTGGTTTATGATTTTGTGTCTGTGATTAATGAATTTCAGGAAATGTATATATTACAGTTACTATCAAAATTAATATAATGTTTAGATTTACAGAATGCTTTTACAACATTGCTGTTATCGTAATGGCTTAGTGAATTGTGTCATTGTCTAATACCTCTGATATTTCATAGGTGATTTGATGCATTTAATTAAATCTGATTTTGGAAGTTTTGAGAACTTTAAAACTCAGATGTCCAATATGGCTGTGGCTGTTCAAGGCTCAGGATGGGCATGGCTTGGTTTCAATACAACCACCAATAGCTTACAGCTTTCATCATGTGCTAATCAAGATCCACTCCGGGCTACAACAGGTATCTAATTACTATCATTTTTAATGTATATCTGTAAACATTAAATAAACTAAAAGAGAATAAGAAAATGTGATCTCATATTTCTTTTTTTTATAATTGGCAGCAATAAGCACAGTTAATTATCAGAAGGTTCTCTTCTAATGTTTACATATGTTTGATATTGCTGTGCCTTTACCTAAAAAAATTATGTAGATAATGTATTTAGTTATTCTAGGTGATCAAGAACATATAGAATTAATAAATAATAAATATATTATGATCAACTCTGAATTTCACTACACCTTTAAGCCTAAGATATATACTATCATCACAATGGTTATTTCCAGAATGAAATAAGTATCTGTAAGATGGAAATAGTTTTAGAAAAAAGGTACTACCTAAGTTACATAACTGGCTGTGTTCCAGTTTTGTGTCTGTATATCAGCAGTAGTTAGATGTTTAATAAGATGTACGTATAACTTAATAAATCTTAAAAATTTATTAGCGACTAAACATAAAGATTTTGGAATGTAATTGTACTTGGAATAAATACCAAGAGAGGGTTAGTAAGGCAAATTCTACCTTGTACGAGACTTGAACACAGAATGTCAGTTCTTCATCAAACTACTTCTGTTCTCAACTTAGCTACCCAGGGCTGTATGTAACTGTAGACTGTGTCCCATTATAGTGTAATATGTAACAATAATGTTAAAATCAAAAACTGCTTAGCAAAGTGTAATCAATGTTTTAGATAATTGATGTGAGTAGTAATGATGGACTGCATCATAAAAATAATTATTAAAATTTACTGTTTTCAGAGATAGTTAGATTACTTTTATTAGAGGTTTTGTTGAGCAGATACACTCCGTATGGTAATTGATGTATGGCAGAAAATTTTGTTATTAATGATATGGGTTCATAAGGTGTTTCCAGTGATTAATATGCGAGTATGTCATATGTTCTGTTTTTTGTTACATATGATCATAGAAATGAATTTTCATAAAATGTTTGAAAATAATTTCATATCTTTGTTAAACTCAATATATAGATGTTAGAATGCCACTTACTCTATTTGAAATATTTCGTTTTTTAGTTTTCTTTCCTAGCAATTTGTTTATTTTATTTAAAACATGATTTTGAGATAACCTTTTTTTCTTTAATAGGCTTAGTTCCTCTGTTTGGGATAGACGTATGGGAGCATGCTTATTATTTGCAGTATAAGAATGTCAGACCAGATTATGTAAAAGCTATGTGGAATGTTGTCAACTGGACGGATGTTTCTGAAAGGCTGGTTGAAGCTCAACAAAATGTTGGAGTGTAAAGTTTCCAAAGAAGGCTGTTATAAAAACATTGACTACAAACATATCTACTTAGCAGTTGTTGCTTCTGACTATAAACTAACTGTTTGCTTTAAAACTTTAGTTAAAATTGGTCTTTCCACCAAAGACATCAATGTGTACTTCAGAATCAGAATGATGGTAAAATAACATGAATAAAGCTATGTTTGTAAACATTTAGTGTTTTCATTGGATAATGTTATTTGCTAAAAATGAGATTTTCTATGGTACATGAAATAACCCTAAAGTACCAACAAGAAAATGAATTGTGAAAATACTTACTAGGTTGTGAGAAAATATTTACAAACTTCTGTAATCAAATAATATATAAACATAAAAAAAGATAAATGTGTGTGTGAAATATTTCATTTAACACACATATTAAGTATGAATGAAACAAATAATATTCTAAAAACAAATTTTTATTATTTTATTGCAAGAACTTTTTTAAATTGTAGTAGCTGTAAAAAATCTGCATGGAGCATATAAGCAACCTTTAAATCTTGTGCTAATTTTTCATTAGAATTTTAATATTGTGTCACTTTTCAAATCTTCTTCAAGAAAAGTTTTCACAATAACAAAATTCTGATATTGATAAGTTAAAAACAGTACCAAGATATAATAGCACATTCACAGAAAAGCGTAACTAAAAGATGCAAAATCGATACATAGATTTGAAATTCAGTTCACTGAATGTGCATGGAGTTGGTCCACTGTGACTTTTCAATGATTTGTTTGTTGCATCAATTCTTCACACAATTAATGAAAAGTAAAAGCATTTGTTTTACGGTGTTTATTGATGTTCATTTATTTACAAATGTGTAAATTAAAAGTTATGATTTGTTTTTTACTCAAGTTGTGCTTGATTTTATTAGTTAACAAGTATACTTTAAAATGAAAAATCTATACTTTTAACCACTTATGTCTGTGTGAAGAGTCATGTTTGTCATCTTGGTCTTTTTCTAATGTCATTCATAAACAGTTTCAAAGAATTGTTTATAAATACACTGTACAAAACAAGGAACAATTACAATTTGTAATGTTATGTTTCTCAAAAGGTAAAATATGTGTTATACAAGGTTAATAACCCACTTCGTTAATCTTTACTCGAAGTTGGCGTCTGATAATCTGTCGTGTGATATGAAATGCAAATGAGTAGTAATAAATCCTACACTAATAAATGAACATTTGGTAGAGTTGGCTTTATATCTTTGTAATTCTTAACACTTTAATAGGGATTGTCACCTCAAACAGCAATGGCATTCTGGAACTGATATTATATGCTTCAAATCAGGGTGTCTTCTGTGTCTGGAATCACTTGACAGATGGGTTTGATTTCCTAAGAATACCCCATATATGCTCAATGAGATTGGAATGTGTCGAGTATGCAGACCACTCCTCCTGATTAATTCATTTGCATCGAGGAAAGTGTTGACCAGTTTAATAGTGGGAGTGGGTATTATCGTCCATTCAGCTGAAGACACAGCCAATTGTATCAATTGTGTATGTAACAATAATGGTATAGCATTATGCAGGGTGCAGATGGGTTGGATCGGGTTACAGGTTTTTATCGGGTAAAGTGCGACCCATCACATCTTGATCCACTGGACAAGTCTTGGCTACATGACAGACAAATTGTTTTATATGTTAATGTGAAACTATTGTACCTCATTAGCCATCTGTCACAGAGACTAGCAAGTGAAGTCTGTAACAGTTTACTCTGATATGGCAACCAGTAGTGGCTGCAAATATCTGAATCCTTTTTGGAGCAGTGTCATGTGTTTCTTTTAAGCCAGATATCTGTTGTACGCTTGTGTTGTTGATGATGGTCTGCCTTGCACAGGTGTCTGAGCAACTTTATCAATGAGTTGGAAGGCATTTTGCCAATGTCACTTTGAGACGTTTGTAGTTAATTTTCATTAGCCTGCAATGATTGGTCATCTATATGAGTGGAACATCCAAACATCTGCTCTGAGGTACAGTCACAGCTAGAAACGCAGTTTCTTTCGACATGACAATATAAACAAAACTGTGTAAGACCATTATCTACGTAGCATGGACTAAAAACCATTTATTTGCATTTCAAATCACGTGCCTGATTTGTATAACAAAGAAATGGTACGTGATTGACATTCAATCACAACATTTTGCCTTGTCATAGCTATAAAGCTACAGATTTTGCTTATCCAATATTTATTTCAGAAAAGAATCTAATATTTTCACTTAATTCTAATATTTCTAGAATCAAATAAGTTTAAGGCATGGTTTGGACGCTCGACTCGCAATCTGCGCGTCGCGGGTTCGAATCCCCGTCATCGAACATGTTCACCCTTTCAGCTGTGGAGGCGTTATAAAGTAACGGTCAGTCTCACTATTCGTTGGTAAAATAGTAGCCCAAATGTTGGCGGCGGATGGTGTTGACTAGCTGCCTTCCCTCTAGTCTGTCACTGCTAAATTAAGGACACTAGTGCAGGAATCCTTGGAGTAGCTTTGCGCGAAATTCAAAACAAACCGAAAGTAATATAAAAAATACCATTGATTCAAAACTATTACTAAGTGTTTAAATGCTAATTGTTGAAAGCGAGTTTATAATTTTGCATTACTTCTAATAATGAAATATCAGGCGAGTTTTGGATCGTTCACTATTCTACGAATTCGCTCTACTATCCAAATCTTAATAGTGTCTGCACGCTCTTAAGAAAAAGACAACGTCGTATCTTGTTAGAAGTTAGGTATTAAAATGAAAATTTCATTATATTACTCAATATAAACACTGTTCAAATCTTTGTGTGTTATGCATAAAGCTGCACAATTGCTACCTTTGTTGCACAATCCTCAAAAACCAAACTCCGAATATTAACCCTTTACGCACTCAGACTTATCACTGAGCCACCGGAGTACTTACACATTTATATATATATATAAAGGTTTATTCTCCAAGTCTGCTTATACACAAAATAAAAGTCGTATCTAATTGTACAATAGTATTAATGGTTGTAAACTACAAAGAATAACTAATATTTAATATTCCAGTGAAAATCTTAGACACTTAAAATTATGATCTATAATAAAAAGTGCTTCCAAGTGTCAGGTTATTTGATGAACTACAATATAACCCTTTAATTATTGTAAATAATATAGTATTAAGGATTTAAATCGAAATAACAAATGTTCACTAAAATGTATAAATCCAACAGGATGGAAAGCGCTTGATTCGCAATCTGTGGATCACGGGTTCAAATCCCCTTTATTGAACATAATCGCCCTTTCAGCAGTGGGGACATTATAATATAACAGTCAGCCCCACAATTCGTTAGTAAAAGAGTAGGTGGTGTTGACTTGCTTTTCCTCTAGTCTATCACTGGTACATTAGGTCGTCTAGCGTGAAATTCTAAAATATATAAACCATTCTATAACATTTTTTATTCAAATTAATGCGAGTTAGAAAACAAATAATGTAATATGAAACTATATTGCTTTTTGTACCTTATTCGAGATACTTTTTCTTCTTTGTTTTGAAGCATTAACTCTGTTTTGAGGATCAGGTAGTGTCACAGCTTTCTCCGACAACATCTAAACCTGGTAGATATTACATATTTTTTAATATTTTCATGGCAAAAATATATATACACTTAACCTGTTGATCCCAGAACAAAATTAATCAATTAAGTAGACGAGTGCAAAACAAACTGGATGGGGCAACAACTTAAGTGATACACGTTCTAGTACATAGATAGGGTGCTAAACCTTTACAGTATTTTATCTGAGCTTTATAGAAAAATAGCTATTTAAGCATACGCTTATTTTTTAGATGTAGGTTATGTATCCATCACTCTTGCATTGCTGCCAAACACATCAACTTCCTATAGTCAAACAGTCCGGAAGGTCATAAGCAAGCCACTGTGACTACATCCTTACAGGTTATAGACACCATAGAACTGCTGCCAATCACACCAGACTTCTGCAGTCAACAGTCTGGTGGGTCATGAGCAAGACACTGAGACGACATCCTTACAGGTTTTATATCACCATTGAACTACTGCCAGGAGATGCATAAAAGCGGTTAAATTTTACACGCTAGTTTCTAGCTGTGGCTAGGACAACACCTGTAATTTTGTAATCTGAGGAAGAAGCCATCCACATGTCTTTATGCAACGGCAATTGCATGATGATAAGATGTACAGTGTGTGGATTGAACTTAGGAGCAGGTTCGTCATTTGGCTAATTTCTTTAAGGAACCCATAAATAACGGAGTTGTGAAAGGTGAACCTTACCGATCATAAGGGAAGAGGAATTTTTAATGAAATGATCTTCACGCAAGATGGTATTCCATCTTATGTTGCACAGGCTGTCAAAATATTTCTGGGACACACTTACAGAAATCTAGTAATAAGCTGATATTTTTATACGTATGACCAACACGGCAATCATATCTCACTTTGTTGATTTTTCGCCATGAAATTACCAAATTTACTGAATTAACATGACGTGCCCCTACCTTGTCAAGCCTGAAAAATATTATACAACACCGAGAAAAGCGCAACTGGTCAAAATTCTTCGGTATTGTTCAGCTGTATATCAAATTATTTCACGATTGCTAGTGATAGTTGGCATGAAAGATGGCCATATTAAACATTCTTAACATGTTTGTTTTGCAAAGTTTACGATCAACGCCATTTGACGATAATTATTTTTGACACTGGAGAAACATTTCCCATCGTCTCATTTGTTTATCTATTATATATTATAGCCCTCTAATGAGTAGTTTTTAAACTACAGGCGCAAAATTAATCCAGTTAATTTTATAATAACCACGTATTGAATGAAATATGATAAAAAACGTTTTCTTTTATGAAATTTACACTTAAGTAAAATGCATGAATTAAAAAAAAACTTTGAAATTTTCCCATATTTTATAAAATTCGTAAAAAGGTAATTTAGATAAAATATCATGTTGTGTTGTTGTCCACTGTTTATTTTACAAAAGCAAGCATTCTCTCTCTGTCTGACGACCGTGCACTTGACACTAGTCTTACAGCGTACTTTCCATTGCTAAAGGTCCCGTCGTAAAAGTGTCATGTCCAAAGTATACATGGCTCCTGCCTAATTGCTTTCCATAATCCATCTAGTGTACGAGGACAAAGTTCTCCCAGCGCCCGTTTCAACAATCTGAT